CGACCCGTTCGGAGGCAAGCCCGCGCCGCAGCTCGGCCAGCAGGACTACCAGCCACCGATGTACTAGAGGGCGCCGGGGGGCGGGCGGACGTACGACGGCCCGTCGCCGGCGCAGGGTGGGGATCGGGATTCGGCGATCGCGTCTCGCTCGCGCCTCGCACGCGTCTCAGGCGCGTCTTGCTCGCGTCTCGAACGCATCTCGAACGCGTCTCGACTCGACGAGACGTCCGGCGGCGACACGGGGTGGGGATCGGGATTCAGCGTTCGCGTCTCAGGCGCGTCTCGGGCGCATCTCGCTGGCATATCGTTTGCGTCTCAGGCGCGTCTCGTTTGCGTGTTAGCCGCGTCTCGACTCGACGAGAAATCCGGCGCGGCGTGCATCCGTCCGACGGTGTGAAGACGTGGCGGCGGAGATTTGTTTCGGAGAGGGGAGCGCGACGACGTCTCGGTCTCGCTCCCGGTGCCGCGCACCGCCGACCTAGATTATCCCTCGTAGTAAATTTTCGCACGTAAGAGAAAGGCGAGCGTTTACATCCAGCTTTGTTGGCTTCACCACTGCTACTCGTTATCACGATTTCGTCGCGATTTCGTCGCGATTTCCTGCACGTTGCAGCTGTCGTCGGGAATGGTCGGGTTAAAACTTTGTCGGCGTCCGATGCGATTCGTAGACGAAATGCTAAAGGTGGGCAATAATTTACCTGCAGAATATTTAACTGAAAACCTACACGTGCATGCACAGTCGCACATATGCATCGACGTGTCGTATAAACTATAAAGGTTGCTTGCGTTTCCAGATTCTAAATTATCGCGGGAGTTGTGCGCATTGCTCTATCATCTTGTGCCTCTTGTGTTCTATGCGTGTTATCAAGTTATTTTACTCTAGCACGTGTTGTACATCTTTATATCCTTATATCTGGCTTTATGTGTTTTAACCACTCACCATGATGTCTGTCTGTGTATATACAAATATGTATGCGTGTTCACGCATTTGTGCGTGCGTATGTATGCATGTATGTATGTACATAGACAAATTTTGGTGAGTATATACATATATATTATTACACTTTCCTGTGATCTATGATAGCCAATTCTATGCTGTGTGTCTATAGTGGGTCCGCCGTGCCATTTGCATATTAGCATTAGATTAGTGGATTACGTGGAACTTCTATTTAGATGGATAGTGGTGTCGGATATTTCAGTTTACCCTGAAGAATCTCACTCGTTCGCCTTGTCAAGTGTTGGTAATGAAGTTCGTGAGGTGCCTACCTAATTTATTTCACTTCTCTGTATTTTATTTTGGACGTGCCAGCTTCCAGAGTCATTGGCATGGGAATTCTCTAGATTTATTCGGATGATAATTTTGTTTTATCTCGTCTATCAGTAGATGGAGTCTTCTTCAGGGAATTATTGCAACTTTAGCACGTGTACTGTTTTACGGTCGTTTTTTGTATCGTTTATCATACTTTGGTCTTCGGCAGGTTTCGTGCAGCCCACCGTGTTCGTATGTAAGATTGTGCTGTTTCATATAAGTGTATGTACTCTTCCCATAAGACGTCCGGTTTGCTTAGTTGTGTAGGCTGTTTCATCCGGTCGAAGCAATGACACCACATAGTCGTGAAGTTCATGTTGGCTTATATAAGAACAGACGAGTCATTCAAAGATGTTATGATGGGATAGCCTGCACAAAGTTCTATATGAGGACTAACTCAGGAGATATGGAAATCTTTAAGCCCAATGAGCTCTGTATTAATATACTAGTCTCAACTCTTTCTATAATTTTGAGTAATCGACAAATGTGCCAGGTTTAATATTCAAGGTCTTTTAGCGCTCACGAACAGTGCTAGAATTTGCCAGACAACCGGGGATGGTTTCGAGTTGCCACGCTTTAGCGACGTTTTGAGCGATATGTTGCAAGAGCGTGGCTGCCATTACTAAATTCATTGATACTCAGTAGTAGAGGTGGATAATGTTGTATTGCCAGGAACATGTCTTACTGTCCTGTGGCTTAACACAAGGTTAGAGAGTAGCAATCGTATGGCCTTTGCGTGTGTCGGCCATTTTGAGACCTTCGCGCGAGTTTGCCAAGTAGCTGTTGTTTTTTCTCTGTATGTTATTTGAGATAACTTATCTCTAAGGTATTGAACAATATATTGATTATATTGGCTAGGTATTACCGAGTAAATTAGATGTTTATGAATGTGATGTTGCTAGTTGTATGAGAAGTACATCGAAGTAGCCGGAATAGAGTTCACAAGGATGGCTCTGTAGAAGAGTTGGCACGAATTGCTGCACCAACCGTTTGTTTTCTTATGTATGTGTGAGCCTAGGCATATATACTTTTGTATAGAACAGCATTTACATTGCATTATTTTAATACTTGTGTCTGATCAAAATGTACGCCTGTTTGCGGGTGACTGATGGTGATCTATTCTCATTTCATATTATTAATTTTGGAGATGTAGTGTATGTCTTGAATCTCTGCAAGCACGGATATTGCCCATCTCAAAAGACACATGGTATCTTTCGTCAACCAGTATTATAAAAACAAGGGTATCATACTCTTTTAATAGTAATTCCATCGGCTTCCATCTTTGGTTATCAACCAAGTACCCTCGCTTTCATGTTATATTGCCAGTCTACCGGCAGTTGTGTCATTTGCTTAATCGATTTCTATCCACAATGGCATTGTGTTCGCGCTGTAACGTGTACGTACGTACCTTGATCGTTATGCAGCTCTGGCAGCATGTGAAACTCGGCAGCTTTGAGTAGAAACTGCACGCTGGTACGTGGAAATTCTGGTTGGATCTTAGAAGTCGTATTTACAAAGATGAGCATGCTAATTCGAATGTCTCCGCCATTTCCGTGTGATGTCCGTTCATCGATTAATTACCAGCGCAAAATTGTGTGGAAGTGTGTTTGCAATAAATCTATCTGCCAGATTTCTTTTCGACACGGTGGCATTTCTTTCGGTGTGTGTGTGTTCACGTATAATTACCTATATCAAGCATTTGCGTAATTTTTGTCGTACATATGACGGCATGCACATCTTTTACTGAATCACCCACGAGTTAGCGGTGTGAATGTAAATGTACTATTGGAAGAACAACAAGGGGAAATGATATCAAGCCAGTCCTAAAAGATATCCGTGTCCCGTATTGTGTTCACCAGGGTCATTTCGCCGATTCTTTTGATTTTTAACCGGTTATGTACTTTGCTGATGGGTCCGGTGTATTTCCCCCGTCATCAAGTAGTTGTGCATGTGAATCAAGAGTAAATAATCACAAATTATTTGTAATTATTTACTGTTGGTGTGAATTAATATCTAGGCTCGCTCAACGTTCGCTTTGTTTCAGTGAATTCATGGTCACTGAGTAGCGCATCACCGAGATCACACCTTAATGACAATCAAAGATAGTGCCGAATTGTACTTTCGACACTTGTTTCCCAACGAATTTGACCCACCGTCATAACGATTGTAAACCCAACTAGTTTAGAATTAGGTTACGTTACTGACTTGATGAATTTCTTGGTCCACAATTTGTTCTATATACACGTATATATCTATTATTATATCTGATGCCGGTGAAAGCTGCAATGTACGGTGTGTACTTCCTTTTACAGATTCTTTTTTAAATCCGCGAGTAGATGAGAATTTTCGAGAACGTCTTTGCACGCAGGTTCGTTCATTGTTTTTTGCGTCGTTGATACTTGCGAACTCTTTTTCATAATTACGTGTTATCTTTTATGTTTTTGTGTAAATATGCGTTAGTGTAACTGCTCATGTAACTGTGAGTTCCCACGAAACAACTGGCAGCTGGACAATGATGAATATTGCTTTCACGTAATAAATATAATTTCATGTGAATCTTCTTCGTGCGAAATCTCTATAGTATAGGCCTATCTTTCATTTAATGCCAAGTAACTCGACTTAGGATCTATGAAGGACCATGTAAATAAATAATTATATATCTAAAGAAACAATCTTCTCGATGATCAAATAAGCTTTATTGTCAACGATGAAGAAACCATTCTGCAACAGAACGAGAACAGTTATATAGCAATGCATTAAAACTGAACATAACATAACTAACGAAACGTAGACACTGACTCTTAGGAGAACTCCTCAAGGCAAGATGGTTCGATAAACGAGTTCATCTAAGCACTAAAGCGGCGCTTGGTCCTATATAATATATCTATCCACAAGCGAAGTCCCCGGTCAGCGGTCCATTTTCGATAGAAAGAGTCCTGGGAACGAAGATGGTCAGCGGTCAACTCCGTAATATCATATGCATTATATAATTATTATAACATAATATATTATTTATATGCAAACGCTAATGGCCGGCTGTCTTCCTCAATGTGATATACGAGGGACTGTATAATACACGTATAATATGTGTCAGATTGTCAGATGCAGCAGAGTACAAACATGTTTGTTGCGCAGAAACACAGTTAAACCTTGGCGATATCGACAGAAACAACAACTTGTCGCGAAATCGTATACGTACATGCACGCGCGTGCTCACACGCATTCACATACGCACGTACCAACACGCACGCATCAGCACGCACGCACCAACACGCATAAAAAAACGCACATGTACGAACACAGTACACACACGCACACAGGGGCACATACACAGATACTCACGGACACAAACACATACACACAAACGTGCGCGCATTGCATTACGTGCGCACATCATACATGTGAACACATGCGCTCGTACGGGCACCCACACGCGCACCCACGCGCGCGCGCACAGGCGCACGCGCACGCACACACTCGCACGGGCACCAACACGCGCACGCACACACTCGCACGGGCACCCACACGCGCACGCACACACTCACACGCGCACGCACACACTCGCACGGGCACCCACACGCGCGCACAGGGGCACCCACACGCGCTCGAACATACGCGCACATGCAGGAGCACGCACACGCGCACGCACATACGCGCACACAGGAGCACGCACACGCGCTCGAACATACGCGCACACAGGAGCACGCACACGCGCACGCACATACGCGCGCACAGCGGCAACACGCACACGCGCACGCACATACGCGCACAGCGGCACCCACACGCGCACGCACATACGCGCGTACAGGAGCACGCACACGCGCACGCACATACGCGCGCACAGGGGCACCCACACGCGCACGCACATACGCACCAACACGCGCACGCACATACGCGCGCACAGGGACACCCACACGCGCACGCACAGGGGCACCCACACGCGCACGCACATGGGCACCCACACGCGCACGCGCACATGGGCACCCACACGCGCACGCACATACGCTCGCACAGGGGAAGCCACACCGCCACACGTCTTCGCGGTTTGGATGTAGGATTTGGTCGGATTTGGTACGGGAAATGGATGTTGGAATTGCTCTCCACTTGAGACGATACATTTTTCTATATGTATGCAGATAAAGAGGTGCTTTACGAAGATACTCCTGAGAGAAACTATAGCATTGAACTGTTTGTGAATAGGACCTACATGCACTAGGAAACATTATATGGTATGAGGGTGAACGCTTATTTTTGGGACGCGGGATTGAACCATTTTGATTTTTGGGGAACCGGAACATACTAGAAATGGCAGAATATACCTAAGTAATTTATTAGGTATTTTTAAGGTATTTATTAGCTCTTGCATGGTAATAAGTATAAAAGATAAAGTATAAAAAATATATAAAGATAAATGTTAGTAAACTGCGATACGAAAGAATGGGAAAATGCACACGTAGATAACTTAAAATCTATTTCAGTATATCCTCTACGTCACAGAGCCGTATTTTCTGCCTTTCATAATTAAATTTATTATTATTTCAAAACAATCTGTCTAGATAACGTGACCTATGCTTGACCTTACACTGACATCCGGTACCATCATAGATGGGAGCGAAGTCTCTCGCGCCAATGCGTGTTTTCTGCAGTGCCGATGTATCAAATAGAATAGCGCCAGTCTATATTTGCGCCCCATTTTGGTATCTATGGTATTTCCGAGTAAAGAAAGTCGAGGACGAGGTTTGTGACTCGTTTTGACACACCGAACATTTCGAATTGTTTACTTTTTGTAGTCTGTTGCTGTTTGCTAGTGCGCTGTTTGCTAGTGTTTGCTAGTGCTAGTGTTTGCTAGTTGCTGTGCGCCCACGTCGATTGTTACAGCCCAAAATGATACACTTGACGCTTTCCCATATGTTTACAAGCTATGCAGATATGAAAACTACATGGGTGGGTCTACATAGCTAATGAGTACGGTAATGTCATTAGACTAGTCAGTTGCCTTAGCCTGAGAGGGTCTATGACTATGTCCCCCAGGGTACTGTCGGAACGTACCCTGGGTACGGTCCGGTATACCGGAACGTACCCTGGTACTATCTAATATGCTGGACCGTACCTCGCCTACTCCACTAACGAGTCTAGGGAGTCGCCTACGCCTACTGAGGCTACTCCCTAACCGGGTAACCCTAACCATGGCATAACCCTAACCATGGCATAACCATAACCCTAACTCTAACCTTAACCCTAACCCTAACCCTAACCATCTCAAAAAGTTACCAGGGTACCCACGTTCCGGTATATACCGGACCGGGCGCAAATACACTGGTTCAAGGATAGAGAACATGGGTCCCAATAAAACCAATGTCATTTACATCAATATAAATATAATGCCCAATGGTTCAAGGATAGAGAACATCATCATGGGTCCCAATAAAACCAATGTCATTTACATCAATATAAATATAATATTATATCAATATAATAGGTTAGGGTTATGGTTAGGGTTAGGGTTAGGGTTAGGATTAGGGTTAGGGTTAGGGTTAGGCACATTGGTTTTATTGGGACCCATGTTCTCTATCCTTGGGCCAATACACTTTCCTACCAGTCAATATGGCGGCACCCGACTCCGAATCCCCTGCCCGCGCCCGCCTGTACTGTCTGTACTGGGCATATTGACCGGTAGGAAAGTGTATTTGCGCCCCGGACCGTACCCAGGGTACGTTCCGGCAGTACCCTGGGGGACATAAACCCTATGAGCTTTACTTAGTGCTGGCAATGCAATACCAATCACAGACACAGGTCATTGGGCCATTTCAATAATAAAATGATGGTTAATAAATACAACTTGTCAGTACTACTACTAGTACTAGACCTACCAGTACCAGTAATAGTCTTAATGTTGGATTTGACCTAATAACTTCACTTCAATACCGTCCAATACACCGCGCGCTGCAACACACATTCCTATAGCGCGCACGCCATTGCGCACAAATACACAGTAATATAGAGTGTGTACTAGAGTGTACTAGAGTGTGCACTCTATATTACTGTGTATTTGTGCACAATGGTGTGCGCGCTATAGGAATGTGTGTTGCAGCGGTGTATTGGACGGTATTGAAGTGAAGTTATTAGGTCAAATCAAACATTAAGACTATTACTGGTACTGGTAGGCCTAGTACTAGTAGTAGTGCTGACAAGTTGTATTTATTAACCATCATTTTATTATTGAAATGGCCCAAGTGCCTGTGATACCAATAGCCAATACTACTACTAGTACTAGTACATGGGCAGATCCAGCTTTTTGAAAAAGGAGGGGTCCAGTAAGAAATAAAGGGCACTTTTTCCTGCTTAATTTTTCTGGTGTTTTGAAAAAGTGCCGAAGGCAGCTTATGCGACGTGTGTAAGGCACTTAGGGGGGGTGGTAGGGGGTTTGGGGGACCTCTCACAAGAAAATTTTTAAAAATTGGTGTATTCTGAGAGCATCTAGAATGCAAGATGGAATTCCAAATTTTTAAGCAGAAATTATCTTTTATGTGTTTTCCATTTTTTTCTTTTTTGGGGATAAAAAAGGGGGGGTCCGGACCCCCTGGACCCCCCCCCCCTCTGGATCCGCTCATTTAGTACTACTACTAGTACTAGCATTAGGCATTATTCAACTAAGTAATTACTGAAACACTGTCAGTGATTACTGCTGTGACGTGACGTCACATAGTCATAGTCACGTCTACTTACTTATAACTGTATACATAATTATACAGACTACAGTTAACTTACTTAGTTATACACCCTGGTCCCTGTCCAAAAATGCAAACAAATACGGGTAACGCAGTTATAGGCGTCAGGTGGGCCTAGTAACTTAGTACATGTATTTGTAAACAAGTGGCTGCACCATTACAATGATAATGTATTGTATCGTGTAACATTGTCATTGACAACATAATGATATGCCAGTGCTCAATTTTAAGGTTTTTTTTGGGTTGTCCAGAGGACAACCAAGAGACCCAAAAGGGTTGTCCCTCAAGAGTTTTGGTTGTCCGGATATTATTTAAACAT